CGAGGCCGAGGTGCGGGAGCAGCTCGGCGTGCAGGCGCGCCGCCGCCCGCACGGTTGTCGGCCTGGAGCCGCAGGGGCGCGCCGCCGTCGGGAGCGTGGGAGAGAGTCGACTGCACGCAAGAGCGGCCCTTCGCCAGAGTGACCTGTGGTGCGGGCCCGTTGGGGTCCCCCTTTCGCCCTTCGCCGGAGTGACCACCTTGCTGAGTTCGATCCTGGCGCTTCTGCCGCGCTTCGGCCCCTGGCTCTGCACGGGGGCCCCCCTCGGGCCACGGGGGGCATCCTGGCACCGAGCTCTTGGACTCGACTAGAGTGGAGACCCATGCCAAGAAAAACCCTGCCTGCCTCTAGGGTGCCCCGGGTTTCTTGGGTTTCGATGGTTTTGCTGTGGAAAGCGTGACGTTCCGACACCAAAAGTCAATGGACGTCCCGGGGTCTCAGGGTTGGGTTTCTTGTGGAAGGTTTCTTGTGGAGTGGCCCCCACTGTAGACGTAGGAGTGGCCCTTCGCTGGAGTGACCTTCGGTGCGGGCCCAGTGGGCCCCCCGATCGTCGAACGCGATGCGACAGTAGCGTCTTGCGCGCTTGTGCTCTTGCGTGTGGCCGAGAGTGGGGGTGGGTGTCGGGTGGCCGTGTGCCTGGGGCACCCGCGGGGGCGCGGAGGTATCGCGCTTCGCGCGTCGCGGTCTGGACTGGAGAGGCGCCCTTCTCGAGGAGGGGTGCGGTGACGGCGCAAGGGCGCGAGGATGGTCGTGCGTCGCGCACCGCGGGGCGCGAGGCGCGCAGTTGGTGGCCTGGGTGTGTCAAGCCGGCCAGGTTGAACGAGCCAGCGGGCTCCGCCCACTGCCACCTTCCCTCCCAAGGGCTCCTTATCCAATACCCTCACCGTAGGAGGAGGAGGAGGAGGAGGAGGAGGAGGAGGAGGAGGAGGAGGAGGAAGAGGAGGAGGAGGAGGAGGAAGAGGGGGAGGAAGAAGAGGAGGAGGAGAAGGAGGCGGAGGCGGAGGAGGAGGAGGAGGAACATCAAGTTAGCTGGGTCGAACGAGTCAGCGGGCCCCTCCCACTTGCTGGCGCAATTGGATATCGGGATTGGCGCGCGTTCACATCTGGCGCACGGAAGGCGCTCGCGTGCGGTCCCGCTTGCGACGGCGTGGCGAGGGAGAGCAATCACGGGCCGCGCGCGTGCGGGAGCGCAGCTTCCAGAGAACATGTGCGCGGCGCTGCGGCGAGAGCACCTTTTAGCCATCTCTCGCTCGGCCAAGTTGCAGTGAGAGCGGTGACGACAAATTTCTCGCCGCCTTGACGCAGCAATGCCAGTTTCACCTGAAATCTGCGCTGCGCTTCTGGGCGAGGGCGACAACTTCGCCCGCTCGCGCGCGGCCCTGGTGCCGCTCTTCCTGGCGACTCGGCGGGTGTCAAATATGCGCTGCGCCCAGCTGGGAGCGCCACTTCGGCGCGAAATTCAACACTTCGGGCGAGGACAACAAGCCGCCCGCTCGCGCACGGCCCCACTGACACAAAAAATTCGCCGCGCCCGAGCGGGAGCGCCACGTTCAGGCGAAATCTGCGCGACGCTTGGGCGAGAGCTACCCCTCGCCTGCCTGCGAGCTACCCCGTTTTCGACGAGCTGGCGAACAGCAGCTGTGCGCCGCGCCCGAGCGCAAGTTCAGCGCGCAGGAAAATCGGCACGGCGCTGGGGCGAGGGCGGCAGTCCGCACTGTCGCGCGCGATGGTGCGCCCCGTCCCGCTCCTGCCGGGCATTGTGCAACGTCGACGGCAAAACATCCATGCGGAGAGGGGAATGCAACCTGGCATTGTTTTTTCAATGGTACCACCTGGATTGACAGACGATCGGCGAGTTTTGTAAGAAACCGGCGAATGAGTTATCCCTGCCGTGCTGTGCTAGGTTCTTCAAGATGCGAAGACATGACTGCGAAAACGTTGCCGCGCCGTGCCGTGCCGTGCCTGGTTTTCAGACTGCGAACTAGGTGGCCGTGCAGTCCCGTGCCTGCTTTTCAAAATGCGAAAAAGTTGCCATGCTGCGCCTTGCTTTCAGCATGCGAAAAGTTACGTACTGTGCGGTGTTTGGTCTCAGACTCAGAAAAAAGTGGCCATGCCGCGCGGGGCCCTGTCTTCAGAATGTGAAAGTATTGCTGTACCATGACTTTTCCCATAATGCGCAAAGATATTGTCGTGCCGTGCTTCGTTTTCAGAGTGCGAAAATGGTGCACTGCCGTGCCGTGCTGACTATGTGTTCTAGAACACAGCGTTGGTGTACAGGCTCTCTGTGCTTGTGTACTCGGCAAATTCGTGGCGGTTCGACGCGGCGGCGACACTGGCGCCAGCGTCCAAGGTCGAAGAGCACGCTCTGGAGGCTCGCTCCGGGCCCCACGTGGCCCGCAGAAGTCAACCCACGGTGCGAAGCCCGTGCGAAAGTCAGTCTGCAGCCATCCACCTCCGCCTCCTCCTCCTCTGCCTCCTCCTCCCCCTCCTCCTCAACTCCTCCTCCTCCTCCTCCTCCTCCTCCTCTTCCTCCTCCTCCTCCTCCTCAACTCCTCAACTCCTCAACTCCTCCTCCTCCTCACCTCCTCATCATCCTCAACTCCTCCTCCTCCTCCTCAACTCCTCCTCAACTCCTCCTCCTCCTCCTCAACTCCTCGTCCTCCTCCTCCTCCTCCTCCTCCTCCTCCTCGGAGAGCAAAGATCTCTCAAGATTGAAAGGTTCGCGCGGTGGCAGAAACGAGTGCCCACATCACTGAGGCACGAGCAGGCCGTGCGTACGCCGAGGTGGCCAGCCAGGCGAGAGTTGGATGGCACACGTGCGGCCGCATGTCATTCTCGCGTGCGGCCGAGTGCACGCTGGCCCTCTGCGTGAGTCCAGCGTGTGGCTTCTGCACGTCCCGCATGCAAGTCCAGCCATACAGTGGAGGCCCGTGCCAAGAAACACCCTGCTTGCCTCCGGGGTACCCTGGGCTTCTTGGGTTTCCATGGTTTTGCCATGGAAGGCGTAGCGTGACGTTCCCACACCCAAAATCAATGCACGTCCTTAGGGTCTCAGGGTTGGGTTTCTTGCGGAAGGTTTCTTGTGGACTGGCCTCCACTGTACGTGTATCCAGCGTGTGGCTTCTGCACGCCCCGCATGCAAGTCCAGCCATCTGTGAGAATCCTGCTTCCTGGCGCCGAGCTGCTCATCTTCGCCCCCGCCCCAGAAGAGGAGAGACATAGCCAGTGCGTGCCTGAGTCGGATATAGCGAGGACTCCGGGCAAGGGGAGCCCGTTAGTGATTGGGCCCCGAAGCCCCCCAAATACACCGGAATCACTGGAACAGGTCTGCCGTAGCTGGCGTTTTCTTCGGGTGGCGACAGTTCCAGTTAGTGGAGTGGGGCCCCACTCGACATCATTAAACCAGGTCCCACTAAACCCAGTCTTGCCGACGCCCGACTGGGTGGTGGCCGTGTTGGAGGCGGTTGTGCTTGCGGTGGCGGTGGCGGCGCCGGTCTGCGTGCTGGAGGCGGTTGTGCTTGCAGTGGCGGTGGCGGCGCCGGTCTGCCCGGCCACTCTGTCGGCCACGGGTCGGCTACGCGTAAGAGTGGCCCTTCGCTGGAGTGATGCGGGCCCACAGGGGTCCCCCAGCATCGGCTGGCGCGCTTGGGTTGCCCGGACTTGGCCATCCCAGCAGCCCCCAAGGCCGTGCGCCAAAGGGCACTCTTGCCTGGGGTCACTCTTGCGTGCAGCTGGGTGTCGGCGGCGAGCCCCGGGGGGGGAAGCGAGAAGGGGCGGGCCTTCTCAGAAGGCTCGGAAGTCTCCCGCCGGCCTTCCGAGAAGCTTCCTGAGCCTTCCCTGAGGACGCAGAAAACTTCTCGGAAGGCCAGAGGGCTCCTCCCCACCTCCCCCCCTCGCTTGCCGCCGAGGGTGGGCGGTGCCCCCGCGGCGCAGGCGCGGGCGCTGCTGGCGCTGGAGAGGCGCGTGCAGCGGGTGGAGGACGGCGCCCACCAGCCGGAGCCGCCACGACCTGGCCCGGGGGCGGGGCCGCGCCATCCAGGGGCGCCAGAGGTTTTGAAGTCCCGAAACGGTGCGGTGACAGACCGTGCGGTGACTGACCTCGAAATCCCCCAAGACCTCACCGCACGGTCCGTCAACGCACGGTTTTGGTACCTCGGAGGCCTCAATCGCCCGAGACGTCCTCGGAAAACGACCCGAGTCCCAAAACCGTGCGGTGACCCCGAATCCTCACCGACTCACTGCACGGTGTGGTCACCACCCCGTTTGGGGGCCCCCGAGAGGTTGGCGGCGTGGAAAGACGGCACGCAGGCCAGCATCAGGGCCTGCTCACTTTGGACAGGACTCGCTGCCGGTGTCGCCGCGGGCGGTGTCCATTCGAAAGAGAGAAGGCCGCCTGCCCAACAGCGGCCGCTGTCGGCTTTGGACAACGTTCGTTGTTGGGCACCGTGCTCATCTTTTCCCTACCCATTTTTCGGGCGTCCACAGCAAAGGGGGGCATGGCGAGGGGGGGCAGCCGTCTGAGAGGGCACCGGGTTTCTCAGAAGGGGCCGCACCCTCAAATCCATGGCCCCGCGCGCCTTCTCGGAGGCGCGGGGGCCTCTGTGGAAGGCCGGCCTCCTGGGGTCAGGCGGAAGTGAGGGAGAAGCCAGAGTGAGTTGGAGCCAGCTGGGGCCTGAGGTGGCCCAGCATTGATCTTGGCCATCGGGAAGGGGGCGGGGGGGGGGGGGGCAGGCCCGAGGTTCTGGGCACGGGAAGTTTCTTTGCCTTGTTTGCCCTCCGAGGGCCGTTTTCGGGCCCCGGGACCGCCAGAAACGGATCTGGGGTGAAAATTGCACCAGATCCCAGGAGGGTCCCAGGGACCGATATTGAACCAGTGGAGACACCAACAGCAGCATCATTCCATGATGTCTGCCTACGCCTACGTCCGCAACGCAGCCAACGCCCCCCCCGCGGCCGCAACCGATCCAACCTCGGGCCGGCTCTCCGGGGGATGCGCCGCCAGCATGACCGCAGCCAAGCGCGCCTGGGACGCCAAGATGGCCGCTCCCCCAGACACCTCCAGCCTCGACCAGTATTTCGCCGAGGCCGCCAGATACGTGGCCCCAGTCCGACCGTGCGTGGAGTGCGGCGGAAAGCGGCACCTCGAGTGGGACAGGTTCACCGTTGCAGGCCTCAAGGCGGCAGCATGTGGTTGCCGGGGCACCGCAGCCGGGCCCACGGACTACGACGCCGATTTCCTGCTCTCCATGCCCACGCCTGCGTGGCAGCACCTGGCGGACCTCGCTGACATGATCATGGGCACGGGCATCTGGCCGGACGCGCTCCGCGCGCAGAACGTGACTTTCATTCCGAAGATCTCCTCGCAGGACCTGCGCCCGATCGCCGTCATCCCCGTCGTCACGCGCACCCTGTCGAGGTGCCTTGTTCAACATTGCCGTTTCTGGACCACCAGGGTCCAATCTACAGACGCGGTCGGGCAGCTGCTCCGGTTCGAGGCCGCCGTCACCGCGCGCATAGCCAACAACCTCCCGACAGTTGCACGCACCAGTGACCTGGCCAGCTGCTTCAATCACATCGACCCGTCTTTGGCGGAGCGAGCGGCGGTTCTTCACGGCATGCCGGACACGCACGCTCATTTCCTCTTCTCCGTGAACGTGGACAAGCCCACAATTCTCCGTGGTGGAGAGTACGCCATGCGCGCCCCACCGCCAGACAGCGGTCTTGCACAGGGCGACCCGAGCTCTCCGCTGGGAGCGGCTGTGGTCGCCGCCACGCACAAGGCAATCTTGAAGAGCACAGTCGACGGCCTGCAGTACTTCGACACGTACGTCGACGACAGGACGGCCCTGACCAACTCTTTGGAGGCAGACCGACATGATACCCAGGAGGTGGCACGTCTGGACCGCCTCATGGGACAACGCGAAGATCCCAAGAAGGGCTCTATGGCGGCGGTCTTCCTTACCAACGGCACCGACCGCGCCGACAGCATCCTCCCCCTCCCCCTCCCCCTCACCAACAGTCGCGCCGACAACCACATCGACACCGACATCGAGGTGCTAGGCATCGTTTTCGACCTTACTGGATCCCGCAACCCCCGCAGCGGCCCGCGCACCGAACGGAGGGCAGGGGAGCTCCAGGAACGACTCCGACGCATCGCCAGGATCGCCAAAGCTGCCGGGCTCGGGGCCCGGAGGCGCATGGCCATGATGAGAGCAATCATGTCCTTGTGGCGCTGGGACGCTCCGTGGGTCATGGCCGACGACACGGACCTGCACAGCATGCGCTACGACATAGAAAAGACCATCACCGGGAGACAAAGACATTGGGCATGGAGGCACGGCGGTGCTTTCTGGCTCACCACGGACAAAGGATGGCTCGTGGAGCCCTTCGCGGTGCAGTTCTCGGTTCTCATCCAGTGTCTCGTGGAGGCGGCGTGTAGCGAGGACACCGCGCGCACCATGGAGCGAGTCTGGGCCCACCTGCACGAGCAGGAGCAGCACGGAGGTCGTGCGGACGGATCGTGGAGCTATCGCCTGGCTGCCCGGATCCGGCAAGTCGTCTCCCGTTTCTGGCAGCCCACAGACAGTCCATGGAAATACCATGTCGACCATCAAATTTTCGATGTTCGATTCCTTCGCCAAGAACACCTGGACCACCACGTGCGCCAGGCATGGCGGGCATGGATTTGGACACATTACCACCGACGGACGCTCCGCAAGGAGGCCGCCGGCCGCGTACCAGCGCCTTGCCACACGACCCTCTGCGAGTGGCTGAACGAGCACGCCGGGGCCGACCACGACCGGTTCGCTGTGGCACAGAGGTGCGTGATTGCAGCCGAGCCCAACGCAGTGCGCTTTTCGCATCTGCATCCAGATTGCTTCTCGCGCACCTGCCCCACCTGCCAGGTGGACAACAACACCCACCACATGATGCACGAATGTCCGACCACGGAGCCGCTTCGTCGAGCGCACGGGCTCCATTTACCTCTACCACTCCCGGCCGACCCCCTTCAGGCCGAACGGAGCGCTTTCATGCTGCATGGTTGGCACGACCACCACCGCCCTCAACTCTGCACTTTGGCGTACCGGGTGCTCAACTACAAACTGGCGGTCTTCCAGCCGTGGCACGCCGCGTGGCTTGCAGCCGCCAGTTCCGGCCGACAGCAGCAACAATAATCTGATTGCATCTTGTGCATCTTGTGCATCAGCGACAACAAGTGATTGCATGTTCTGCATCCTCTCAACAAGTATGCGCTTGTCGGCGCCTTCTTTCAACTATAGTGTTTTCCTTCTTTACTGCTTCGAGGACATCAGACATCCTGTTGCAGTCAGAGCCGGCAGGGACCGATATTGAGTGGATTTGACTTCGTCCACCCCCTCTTGATCGATTTCCCGGGACCCCATCCACTCCAGACCCCCTGGTCGCCCCCGCGCGAGGAGGAAAGAAACAACCTTGAGGAAAGAGGCGGGCCACCAGCAGCAACAGCAGCAGCAGCAACAGGCGGGCAATTTTCGTCAGCAGAGCTACTAGGTAGAGACGGGGGGCTGTCGCGAGGCTTGTTCCCGAGAGGGCGAGCCAGCGAGGGTCAGGGGGAAGGCAGCAGCATCAGGGGGGTCTGATGTGGGGCGGGGGCATGGTCGGGAGGGGAGGGGAGAGATGCTGCAGGACCTCTTGTTGCTCCTCCTCCTCCTCCTCCTCCTCCTCCTCCTCCTCCTCCGTAGCCATTTTGGCTCAAGGCCTGGTGTTCCGCATGTTTTCGGCGTGCGGGACCCGTGGTGGCGCGGGAGAAGCTGACTGGAGTGGTTGCGGCTAGGGCGGCGGCCGATAACCTGGTCAGACGGTTGACGCGCGAGCTGGCTGCCGCGCGCCAGACCATCGACAGCTTGAAGGAGCAGCTCGTGGGCGCCGCCGATGGCGAGGCGGAGGCCGAGGCTGCCCGCCGTGAGGCCATCGCACGGCCCGCCCTGCTAGCGCGGGTCCGCGGGGGGCGCGAGTCCCGTGGGCAGCGCAAGCAGCGCAACGTTGCATGGCACGCGCAGAGGTGCCCTGAGGTGGGGGCGCCGATGAGCGAGTGGCGCCGTGCTGAGAGAGGGCCGCGCCTGGGTGGCCCGCCGCCTGCGGCCGAGACTGCAGGCAGTGCTCGGCGGGCTCGGCCACGTACGCTGCTCAGGAGCGATGGCGGGGCCCTTCTTGCCCCAGGGCTACGGCGAGCGGTCAGAGCAGGACCGCGAGGAGGCCGAGCGGACCGTCCCGCTCACGGCCCTCAACAGCGCCGCCAGGCCCTACGCGCCCGAGGGCTCCATCCAGGCGCTGGGCGGCCGCGTCGCCGAGTTCGGCGCCGTGGAGGGCAAGACCTTCTTCGAGGAGGGCCCCGACGCCGACGGCAACTGCTCGGCCTTCATGGGGAAGGGCGCCGAGCAGCTTCAGCAGGGTGGTTGCTTCGTCAATGCGGGCGCGGTCGACTACCCGACGGGCGGCGACTCCGTCGATGGCACGATGGAAGACTTCGTGGAGAAGGGCGGCGAGCATTTCCTGCAGGGCGGCGGCCTCGTCCAGGAGGGCGAGTTCGGAAACCAGGAGGGCGGCGACTCCGCCGACGGCGTGATGGAGGACCTGGACGAGTTGCGACGCCTCCTCCTGGACGCCCGTGCGCGGGTCGACACGGCGGCATTGGCTGTCGTCAAAGCTGGCGACGCTGGCGCCGATGCAAGCCAGGATCAGCTCGAGCTCGAGGCGGAGGCCGACCACATGGTGGAGATCGAGGACCGCCTGGCCAACGCGAAGCCCGTGGAGCCGAAGGCGGACGCATGCCGCGGCCGCCCGCCCCCAGGCCCATGGGCGACAGGCTTCGTCCACGGAGGGTTCGAGGAGAACCTGGCCGCGACGGCCGTGCTGGCGACGGCTGCGGGCCAGCGCTTCGCGGACCTGACCGCGCTCTTCGCCGCGTCCGAGGCGGAGATCAACGGTTCCGGAGGCGGGGCGTCGGGCGGCAGCTGAAGGAGACCGAGGGCGGCGTGGCGGACTTCGTGTACGAGGTCGGCGTGGGCAGAGCCTGGGGTTATACCCAGGCTCTGCCTACGCCCAGGGCGGGATCCTGAGGGGTCCCTGCGCTAGAATGTATTGCATGACCTTTTAGGTCTAGTCTAGAGCCTACCCAGGCTCTGCCTACGCCCAGGGCGGGATCCTGAGGGGTCCCTGCGCTAGAATGTATTGCATGACCTTTTAGGTCTAGTCTAGCCTCCTCCTCCTCCTCCTCCTCTCCTCCTCCTCCTCCTCCTCCTCCTCCCTCCTCCTCCTCCTCCTCCTCCTCCTCCTCCTCCTCCTCCTCCTCCCCCCTCCTCCTCCTCCTCCTCCTCCCCCTCCCCTCCCCCTCCCTTCCTCCTCCTCCCCCTCCTCCCTCCTCCTCCTCCTCCTCCTCCTCCTCCTCCTCCTCCTCCTCCTCCCTCCTCCCCCTCCTCCTCCTCCTCCTCCTCCTCCTCCTCCTCCTCCTCCTCCTCCTCCTCCTCCTCCTCCTCCTCAGTGGACACGCCTGCGCCGCAGGCCATCCCCTGCAGCGCGCTTCCCCAGCGCCCACGCCGAGCCCCCTGGGCGGCCCGACGGCCCTCCAGCGGCCCCTTCGGCGGGTCCACGATGTCCTTTATTTGAAGGTTTTTCACCCCCAATGCTGCGACTTTCACGTCACCTTGCGAGCGAATGCGCGGCCTTTACGAGGAGGGCGCCAAAAAATTGATGCTCAAGTGCCTTACTGTTTTGTTGTCCTCCTTAATATTTTCTTACGGTCGACCCGCATAGTCGCATAGTAAGGCTGGGCAACCTTCCGAAAGGTACCCTTGAATCCTTGCCCCTTGAGCCCACCTTTGACCATCTCTGCCCCTTCCGCCCATCCTTGCCCTTCGTCCCATCCTACATCCCCCCGCGGAGGTTAAAGCAAGCTTTTCCCGCGCCGCGTCGGCGCCCCTGGCTCCAGACCCCCAAATTTCAATATTGATACCGAATCACGCGA